GAACCCACCACACAAAGAATTACATTTCAGCATAAGAGAGAAATGAAAGGTATAAAATGCACAGACCTGTCAAAAACTAAAAAGAACCCACTTCGCAAGCAGTAAAAGTAAACTAAAAAGAACCCACTTTGCAAGCAGTAAAAGTATAACAACCCCCATGTACGTGTTGGGTCAGGAGATGAGAGGGAAGGACAGTGTGTGTTTGTGAGAATGTTTGTGTTACCTCTCCCCCCCATCCCCCTTCTGTTCTGAAATTTGATTTGTCCTTTTCATATGTGTTCATTTTTTTAAATTGTATCCTTTGGTATATATGGTTGTGACAATTTTCTTCCACTATTTGATCTGAGGAAGTGGGTCTGGCCCACAAAAACTCATCACCTAATAAACCATCTTGTTAGTCTTTAAAGTGCTACATAGTCCTGTATTTTGTTTCAGCTAGACCAGACAAACACGGCTACATTTCTGTCACTATTTCACCCAGTCTCTCATGGTTAGACAATGTTTACTCTAAGGTCTTGCTTCCTGTTAACATGACAGATTAAGTTGTACCTCCTGTTTGCATTGTAAAATAAGTTGTGTCTCCTGGTATCGATAGAATTCTTATCCGGAACATCTGTTCTTTGGCTGGTGTGAGTGGAGCATGTGTGAGAAAGTCATCAGGAAAGTCCAGGGGGTCAAGAAGACTTGAGACACTTGAAGATGATGAAAGAACATCCCTCGTGCCTAAGGCTGGATGAAGACTGAAGAAATGAACAGAACAGCCCATCCCTGGAGCCAGGCAGACACTCCTGAAGGTGACACACAAATAAAAGTGAAGAAGCTTCACAATAACCATCAAAGAATAACTGAGAAGCCTGAGATGAACACCCATTTCTGGTCAATGATACCCACAGACTCCAATGGGAACTCACTTGTAAAAGAAGGGAAGCTCTTGCCAAAAAATCTCTGGGTTCAGTCCTACAAGCCGAGTCTCAGAGGAACCCCCACTCCTCACTCAGGAGGGGCGGGGGTGTTTCAGAAAAAGATACTGCTTGTTTTTTTGGAAGAGGCTTTTCCCACATTTGGCCCATTGACACGAAGCCAAAAGTCAGAAAAACCTCCTTTTTTGGAAGATCCCTTACTCTTCATAACATGAGGAATATGGGGATGCTGAGAGAACACGCCTGCTTTTTTGGAAACTGCTCCAAAAAAGCGGACACATTCCCTGGACGTGACAGAATTTTTCTGGAATACCTCTGGTATCCTGGAAAAACGCTGCAGGCCAGACATAGCCTCAGTCACACTTGCCTGGCCAGCAAGATGGACTTGAGCCACGACAGACTGGTAACTATGCACCATCTGCAGGACCTGTGTGTGTGTGTGTGTGTGTGTGTGTGTGTGGGCGGATGGGGGGGCGGGGCTTGTCTTTGAGACATATGCTAACTGCTTTTCTACTGTATTCTCAATAAATGCTTTCTACTGTATTCCCCATTAAAAGATCCCGGGTGCTTCTTATTGCATAGCAAGGGGAGAGCAGGGTGATACAGCTTGTTCTCAATTTGTAGGGCTCCTTCCCATCATCCTTCCTCGTCACTGACTGGTGCATGAACTGGAGAACTCCGCAGCAGAGAGCTGAGACAAGAGCAGAGCAGAAAGGCAAGAAGCAGCAGCTTGTGTGCAAGCCCCACCGGGAGAGCTGTTAGTCAAGCAACTAGGGGAAACTGAGTCCCGAGGGAGGATCCTGATGGCGTATTAGGGGCTGGGTTCCTTGGGCGGCACTAGTGACGGTTACATGGAAAACACCCAAGGCTGAGCTCCCGGGCTCAATGCACAGTTACACCTGGTTCCTTCAACCACGAAAAATCAAAGCCATGTGCTCCCCAAAAGGAGAGGGGTGTTAACCCCTAGGCCAGGAGCCCAGCTGCTCTCATGCCTCCCTGTCCCAGTGCAGGGGAGCACCTGCCTGGCTGCCGCTGTTTTATTTGGTCGGGGTTCTGCTCTGAGTGGCTGGGTCTGTGCTCCCTGGCAGGGTCCCAGCTCTTCCTGATTCTGTAGCGCTGGGGGCTCCCTCTGACCTTCTGCCAGCGCTGAGCCCTTTGTTCTGGCGCCGTGGCAATGAGACGGGGATGAAATGTCCCTGCGAACACCGCAGGCCTCGCTGCTGCGGAAACGGAGCGTCCCTCCCTCCCCTCGCACACCCGGTCTTCTGGCATCCTCCCCCTCCCTGCCCCGCCAGGGCCTGCCTCCAGGCTCGGCCTTAGGGCAAGCGGTGCCTTGGGCCCCACGCTGCCATTGACAGCTTTTTTGGTGTGAGTCAGGCGGCTAATTCAGCCTCACACGAAACGCCTCAGGCGCTGAAACCGCTCGATTCCTGTTGAGGGGCGCCTGGCTGTGGATCGCTGTAACACTAGCCATGGTGATTAGCCCCGGCCATGTCCGTGCTGCCCAAGGGGGGCTGGGGATAAAACCCTGCCGGAGCCCACTCTCCCCACACTCCCTCCTGTCTGCGCCTGCAGCCTGGGCCATGCCTCCCTCCACCTGCTGCTCTTGGCCCTCACCTCCAGCTGCTGCTGCTGCTCACTGCCCAACCCTGCCGAGCGGGGCTGGGCTGTCTCCTATGGCCCAAGAAAGACTCCCCAGGGCTTGCGGGTGGGTGGAGCTGGGAAGGGAACTTCCTAGTCCGGCCCGCGCAACAGGATGGAGGAATGGGGCAGTTCCTTCCCCATCCCCACTCCTGCCTGCCCCACAGCATCCAGGGTCCAGTGTGCCACCTTGGGCCCCGCAAACTCTTTGGATTCCCACCAGGAGTATCCCAGAGCCCATCATTGTTGTGTCAGATCTCCTGGACAAGAGGCGCCATCTCCCACTGTCTGCTTCCCTGCCTGGTTAGCTTGCGGCCAAGGGGGTTGCGTGTTTGTGGGCACGTGCGTGTGTGGGTGCTGGGCATATGTGTGAGCAGCAGGATGCGCTTAGCCCATGTGTGCAAAGCCAATGGCAGCTGGCACTCTGCCGACACAGGAGGTTCTCACTGTACCACTGCACCGGGATGGCTTTCCACACCACCAAGCTCTTCTCTGGCTCGGGGGAAGGCCACAAGGGTGGAACATATCCAGAGGTGACCCATCTTGCCAGGCTTGTTAGCATCAGGCATGTCAGCAATAAGAGGGTGATCAGAGAGGATGTGGGGCCCTTGCTCCAGGAGGGAAGTAACCTAGTGACAGATGTGGGGAAAGCTGAAGCACTCAATGCTTTTTTGCCTGTCTTCACAGACAAGGTCAACACCCTGACTGCTGCACGAGGCAACGCAGTATGGGAAGGGGATGGGCAGCCCTCGGTGGGGAAAGAACAGGTTAGGCACTATTTAGAAAAGCTAATCATACACAAATCCATGGGGCCAGAGTTAATGCATCCTAGGGTACTGAGGGAGTTGGCAAATGTCATTGTGGAGCCTTCGGCCATTATCTTTGAAAGTTCATAGAGATCGGGGGAGGTCCCGGATGATTGGAAAAAGGCAAATGTAAAGTGCCCATCTTTAAAAAAGGGAAGAAGGACAATCTAGGGAACTACAGACCAGTCAGCCTTACCTCAGTCCCCGGAAAAATCATGGAGGGGAGCCTCAAGGAATCCATTCTGAAGCACTTGGAAGAGGGGAAAGTGATTAGGAATAGTCAGCATGGATTCACCAAGGGCAAGTCATGCCTGACCAATCTGATTAGCTTCTATGATGAGGTAACTGGCTCTGTGGACATGGGAAAATCAGTGGATGTGATATACCTTGACTTTAGCAAAGCTTTTGATACGGTCTCCCTCAATATTCTTGCCAGCAAGTTAAGGGAATATGGACTGGATAAATGGACTGTAAGGTGAATAGAAAGCTGGCTAGACTGTTGGGCCCAACGGGCAGTGATCAATGCCTTGATGTCAGGTTGGCCATTGGTTTCAAGTGGGGTGCCCCAAGGAGCGGTTCTCGGGCCAGTTTTGTTCATCTTTATTAATGACCTGGATGAGGGGATGGATTGCACCCTCAGCAAGTCTGCAGATGACACTAAGCTAGGGGGAGAGGTAGGTGGTGGGGGTATGTTGGAGGGTGGGGATAGGGTCCAGAGTAACCTGGACAGATTAGAGGATTGGGCCAAAAGAAATCTGATGAGGTTCAACAAGGACAAGTGCAGAGTACTGAACTTGGGACGGAAGAATCCCAAACATTGTTACAGGCTGGGGACCGACTGGCTAAGCAGCAGTTTGTCACTGGGGATTACAGTGAATGAGAAGCTGGATATGAGTCAACAGGCCCCCTACTATAGAAAAGATGTGGACACTTTGGAGAAAGTCCAGCGGTGGGCGACCAAAATGATTAGGGGGCCAGAGCACATGATCTATGAGGAGAGACTGAGGGATCTGGGCTTGTTTAGTCTGCGGAAGAGAAGAGTGAGGGGGGATTTGATAGCAGCCTTCAACTACTTGAAGGGAGGTTCCCAAGAGGATGGAGAGAGGCTGTTCTCAGTGGTGGCAGGTGGCAGAACAATGAGCAATGGGCTCAAATTGCAGTGAGGAAGGTCTAGGTCCTAGGAGGAGGGTGAAGCACTGGGATGCGTTCCCTAGGGAGGGGGTGGAATCTCCGTTCCTAGAGGTTTTTACGTCCCAGCTCGATGGAGCCCTGCTGGGATGATGGAGTTGGCGTTGGTCCAGCTTTGGGCAGGGGGCTGGACTCAGTGACCTCCTGAGGTCTCTCCCAGCTCTAGGATTCTGTGATTCTCAAGTGCAGAGGGCTGGGAACCCCTTGTCAGGCATAGTACAAGGGAGGGCTGGTGGGTTACAGGCTGTTGTAAAAAGCCAAACATCCAGTGTCTTGCTGAAGTCCAGGCTGGCAGATGGCACGTGGCAGATACACCACTCCCAGTGGCACACCAAAAAGGGTCAAAAAACCATCTCACAGACAGGCACATGGGAGCTTGACAATTCCCGCCTCATCCTTCCCCATTAAAAACCCAATTTGTTTATTTAGTATGACAAAGAGCTGGGTATGTTGGGGTGAACCTGGGCCATGGGGGGATTCCCTGGGGGAGCAGTAGCAGCATGCTTACTGGCCAAGCAAGCTAGCCCACAGCCCCAGTTCACAGAGGGCAAGGACGCCACTGGGATGGTTTGCTGGGCATGGGGAAAATCTGGGAGACAAACTAGGAAGGGCATGAAAATCAAACCAGATCCACCCTGGCTTCCTAAGGACAACACAAGAAATATGGCCCCAATGAGCTAAACCTAGTAAGTCTCCCAGCTTGGCGCTCGGGGCAGAGCCGATGGTCCCCGCAGCCCCCAGACGTGAAATGTCATTCCTGGCACATCCTCAGGGTGTCTCGCTCAGCCCCATCTCTTGGGCGGTGCTCTCAGCCTTGGACTGCAGGTTGCATGGCCCCTTTGGTCCCTCCTGCAGCATGGTCAGCCACTGGCGGAAGCCGCTGCCTGTCGGGGCCAGCACCATGTCGTTGAGAATGGCTGCAGCGAGACCGCCAGTAGTTGGGCCCACCCAGAAGACCTGTACAGAGAGCAGAAGCACAGATGTCAATGACAGTGGGCAAATCTGGACCCACCTGGGCTGCCTGGCTTGCGGGGGCACTGGAACAAGGGTGGCCGGGGGGCTATGTCCCTCCACTTTTTACTGGCGGTAAGGACTAGCAACTGGGGGAGGGGGAGGAGAGAAGTGAGCAGGGGGCGGGGTCTCAGAGGAAGGGGTGGGGCCTGGGAAAAAGAAGCAGGGTGGCACAGCAGGGTGGAGTCACAATTTGGGCACCTATGGCCCCCTGACTTTTGGGATGCTTCCAGCAGTCCTGGTTTCTTGCCTGGAGCAAACTGTCAACGCTGCAAAAGTCACATCTTTCTCTGGGAGCAAGTTGGTTTAGAGTGAGCAGGGGGCGGGGTCTCAGAGGAAGGGGTGGGGCCTGGGAAAAAGAAGCAGGGTGGCACAGCAGGGTGGAGTCACAATTTGGGCACCTATGGCCCCCTGACTTTTGGGATGCTTCCAGCAGTCCTGGTTTCTTGCCTGGAGCAAACTGTCAACGCTGCAAAAGTCACATCTTTCTCTGGGAGCAAGTTGGTTTAGGATATGCTCAAATGCACAGATAGTTCAAAATCATGCACAATAGCATCGTCGTGGCTAGCTCACGGTCTGTAGGGGTACGTCTACACTACAGCGTTCTTTCAAAATATCTTATTTTGAAATAGTTAATTCAAAATACGTTGTTTCAAAATAATGTGTCTACACACAAAATGCATTTCTAAATAGTGTTTTGCTGTTTCGAAATAGCACGTTCACACTGAGTGGACGATTAATTGCATTTAAGGCCGACCGGAACCAGGTCCGGCAGGGCATCAGGTCAAGAGTTACTTTGTGTGGCTGCTGCCTGAGGCTATCTGAGGCCTGTGCTTAAAGGGGGGCCCCCAGACAGCCTGTTCTTGGCTTTCCTTGCTTGCTTGCCTATCTCGATGAGGGATGGCAAAGCATTTTGTCTCTGCGTGCTCTGGTTGCCCTCACTCGGGACACCACAGCACTCTGCAACATGGAGCCGGAGCTGCCCCTGGGCACTCTGTTTCTTCTCTCAGACGCGTTGCTGTGAGCCTGGCTGCACTTTCTACAGGCTTTAGTCCGGGAGGTTCATTGGGGGGCTGTCAGTATCCAGGAGGCCCTGTGGGTGAGCTTCCATCCTGAGGAGCACTAAGAGCCTCCCTGGTCTGCCCCACTGGGGGCCTGTGTCTCAATCCTCCCTCACCTCCTTCTACTTACCCCTCCCTAACCCCCCGCCCTGATGTAAAATAAAATGCATGTATTTTCATGAACACAAACTCTCTTTATTTAACAAAACTGCAGGGGGGGGGGAGGATGAAACTCTGATGAGACTGGGGAAAGGAGGCGGGAGAGGGGAAGAGAGAAGGTGGGAGAGGGGAGGGGGAAACCTGGGAGGAGGGAGCTGGAAGGGGGAAGCCAGGGGAAGAAGGGGGAGGGGAAGCTCAGGGCTCAGGGTTGGGGGGTCTCGCTGGACCAACTTGATTTTCATGAAAACCTGCTCCTGTGTTCACATGTGGCCTTTGGTGGCCAGGCTGGCAGCTATCCTGCCAAAGGCCGCATTCCTCCGTCTAGTGGGGAGATCATGAACATTGGGGACACCCCCCCAACCTGAATAAGGTCCATGATCTCCACCCTGGACCAGGAAGGTGCCTGCCTTCTCCGGGCCCTGGCAGGCTCCTGGGAGCTGGCAGTAGGTCGTCTGGCCAGTGGCGTGCTGGCTTATGTTTGGGGGGCCACTGGGTCAGGGGCAGTGACTGCTGGCTCTGGGGTGGCAGGCTTGGAGATGGCACAGGCACTGTGGCCAGAGTCAATCTCTTTAAGGGCTCTGAAGAGAGAGGGGAGGGAGAGGAGTGTTCTTGGTTGAGGGGTTATTTCGGAATCACCCTTCTCTGCCGCGTGTAGATGCGGGCAGTTCTTCCGGGCTAGTCAATTTCCAAAATGGCAACCGCCCAGGAACATGCTAATGAAGCGCAGGATATTTAAATCCCATGCTTCATTTGCCATTTCGGATGCCCTCATTAGCCTCCCTAGTTCGAACTAGGGGGCTAGTGTAGACGTACCCCCAGGGAACTAGGGCCTGATTACTTGCTTCTCCGCGCCACGTAGAGCAGGCGTGAGCTATTGCACAAAGTGGCGTGGCACTGGCCTGGAACCAGTGTGAGATCAGAATCAGGCTCTGTGCTATAAGCCAGCTGTGGCTGTGCTCACCAATGGGCCTGATTCTGCCACCCCCTCCCATGGAGCCCACCTCCCGCGGAAGGCAGTCACATTCTCTTGACTCAGCCATGCGGCAGCAAGTCAGCTTGTGCATCCTCATCAGAATCGGCTGCTAATTCCCTGTCAGTGACCAGCCTGCCATTGAAGGCCACGGGACTGTGGGTGTACACATTGGCTTTCAGAATCTTTGTTACAGGGCACGGCAAGGAAAAGACCAGGCTCGACCGCCAGATCCCAGGGGCCTTTCGCAGTTGGGGTCACTAGCAATTACCCATCTGTTCCCTTGTAACCTGGGCATGTTCGATCTGACTAATCAATAAACCCAGAGACCCCACAATGCCCTTTGTGCCGTCGCTGGCTGGACAGAACCACACCTGAAGCGCTGCCCCATTTAAACCAGGCTTGGAAAGAGCCGACTTACCCAGTGGTTGGCAAATTCAAAAGCAATCAGAGCAGGGCCCAGTGACCGGGCAGGATTCATGCTGCAGCCAGTGTAACGGATCTGGAGAGGAAGAGATGCAAGAGAATCAGGGAGGCTGCTGTGGGTACCAGGAAGTGGCACAGGCCCAAGTAACAGGAGAATTTCTGCAGACGCTTCCGCACGAGTCCGCAGAAAAATCAGTCAGGGGCTGTGCACAAAGGAGAAGCCAAAAAACCCCAAACGCCCCGACCCTCGCTGACATGGCCCCCCACTGAGATGGAGACGGACATTCCCCACGTTCCCCTCCTACACCAGAGCCTCGGAGGGCCCAGCCTAGTAGATTTTGTGTGCTCCAGTCCTGCAGTGGGACAGCAGGAGGGTTGGAGCGCTAGTGCACACTCCCCAGTGCTGGGTGGGGGGAGGCTGAGCCTCAGAGGCCGGGTCCAGGCAAGCCAGGGGCTGCACGGGCCTGAGGTTCCCCACCCTGCCTTAAGCTATGTCCTGCAATGAAGCACTGGCAGCAGGCCTGTCTGACTGGACTTGTCTGCTGACTTGGGCATGGGCAGCAGGGCTCAGAATTGCTGCCTGGACCTTCCGGCTCCAGAGGGAGCCAAGCCCTGGGGACCCCTTGAGCGGGGAGGGTTGCAATTCTACAGGCCCTCAGCCCCAGCCCCACAAGGCCAAGCCAAAGCCTCCCAAGAGTGTCCCGCCCAGGGGTGTCCTACCCAACCAGGTCCTGCTGCTAGCGCCAAGTGCCCCCGGTACTCACGGCCACCAAGTGCCCCAGCATGACGGAGAGCCCGATGAGCAGGTGCCCGCCCTTGGAAGGGTCTCTCCTGCTCCCAGAGGTGGCGAGGACGCAGAGGACCAGCTGGAAGGAGACGATCGCCTCTATGCTGAAGGCCTGCGGCAGCGTGACCCCCGGAGCCAGCTGTGCTCAGAACCAGACACAACAACCGCGTTACAGGCGGAGAGGTTCTGCCGGAGCAGACCCCGGCCTCTGCTGGGCTCTGGGGAGTGGCAGGCACCCCGTGCAGATGGCTCGGGAGCATTCTCAGCCCAGGCTCACCCCCGTTCACAGCACAGCGGGCAGCGCAGGCTGCGCATGGCACAGGCAGCTGGTGGTTCCACTGAGCCCAGAGCCCTGGCAGCGGTGGTGGGCTGTGACTAATTGTCTCTCGCCCCCTTCGAGAGGAACGAGTGACTGGCACGCAGACCAGCAGGGCACGTTGCTGCTCGGTGCCTCAGTTTCCCCATCTGTACAATGGGGATAATGGCACCGGTCTCCTTGCAAGGGGCTTTGTGCTGTGCTGATGGCAAGCCCCAGGTATCAGAGGGCTGGTAGCCTGCACCCATATCTGAACACATTCACAGCCATTACCACATGCCTCCTCACAAGTGTGCCATCCCAGAGACACATTAACCCCTCCATATACCCCAGTCCCACACTTGCTGGCTCCATGCTCTGACACACAGGCAGGCCCACTGACAGGGGTGGGGTGGGCGAAGGGCCAGTGATTCACAGGGCAGTGGCGGCGTTGCGCCCTTTAAATCACTGCTGGAGCCCATGCCGGGCATGCCTCAGCAAGTTTAAAACAAGCAAAAGGGAGTATTTTTAACCCTGTTGGCCTTCACAAAACCTTCTGGCAAGGAGTTCCACAGATAGACTGAGTTCTGTGAAGAAATACTCCCTTTTGCGTGTTTTAAACCTGCTGCCTTTTAATTTCTTTTGTTGACCCCTGGTTCTTGTGGGGTAAAATCCACTTCCATATTAACTTTCTCTACAGCAGTCATGATTTTATAACCCTCTATCATGTCCCCCCTTGTCTGTCTGTTTTCCAAGCAATAAGATGTTCCCCCTTAGCTATCTAGCAAATGGGGGTCAGAACCTGCCAGTAAACCCAGAGGCAAAGCTCTGTGTTCACACAGGGTCAGATTGAATGACTACAGTTACCCCTTCTCGCCTTGGAATCTACAAATAGCCCCGTTTGTCTCCCTGCTCCTCAGCTTTTTCCCTACTTTGGCTTTGAACCTTTCCCTCTGGCTTCCTGCTTCCCTCAGCGTTATCCCAAGCGCCACACTGACTTGTGGCGGATGCCAGGCCTACGCTACGCTCTTACGTTGGTGGAACTCTGTTGCTCAGGGGTATAACAAACCCACCCCCCGCGCAACGCGCTTACACCCGCCTCGTCCCTAGTGTAGACAGCGCTACGGCGAAGGGAGCGCTTCTCCCATCAACACAGTTACTACCTCTCGGTGAGGTGGATTGCCTACGCCGGCAGAAGAAGCTCTCCGGTTGGCATTGTAGCATCTTTGAAATGCTCTGGGGGGTGCGGCTGTTTTAAGTGTAGACCTGCCCGCAGATTAAAAATCTTCCTCTTTTCACAGACATGACCAGATGGAACCACCAGAACTTTCTGGAACATTCCACCACCCTTTCCCACACACGGCTTCATGGGAGGGCTCCGAACCAGAGGGACAAAAATGCCTCCCATTAATGTGACAGGCCCTATCACAAGAATTATGACTGGGGCTATGTCTACATTGCAGAGGAGTTTCAGGACACAGGAAAAACCCCGCCGCGTCCAGGGAACACGTTTGCTCTTCCACTTTTTTTGCATACGAGCAAACGCGCTGTTTCGGGGAGCTCTGTATTCCTCCTTCCACGAGGCATACGAGCCCCTCCAAAAGAGGAGGCTTTTCTGAAATTTGGCCCAGTGTAGGTGGAAAAAAATCCCCCAAAAAAGGGGCAATGCAGACGTAGCCTGGAGCTGGAATACCACCCCAGAACACAGGCATTGCCAGAGCCAGAGACCAGCCCCATTTCCTCTCCCAGCCACAAGCAGGTGATTCTTCAGAGGAGGGTGCACTGTGCACAGCTTTATTTACCACCACCACCCCCATTTGGCAAAACTGGCATGAATTTGCAAAATGTTTTTGGTGTTGCTGACTCTGCATTTTTCACCAAAAAAAATATTTTGAGCAGCTGAAAAAAATGTGTCCAGCTCTATCTTGGCCTTGGTCTACACTACAAAATGATTTCAATATAACTACATTGCTCAGGACTGAATCTACATACCGATATGGACCTCATCTCCAGTGTAGACAGCAGGTGGATCACCCACGCTAATGGGAGAAGTTCTCTCCTGCCAGTTTAGAACATCTTCATTAAGTGTGACAGCAGGTGCCACTGAAGCCTCTGCCACGGGAGCTAAGAACCAACTGGCTGCCAGCTGGAGATGAAACTCTCTCTCTCTGTTAAGTCTAGACTTCAGGCTTCTTTCGAAAGAAGCTTTTCCAGAAGAGATCTTCCGAAAAAACTTCTTCCGAAACAGAGCGTCCACACTGCCGAAGCGCATTGAAAAAGCGATCTGCTTTTCCAAAAGAGGGTGTCCAGACTGAATGGACACTCTCTCACATGTACGCTGTGATTGCAATGTGCGGAATGGCCACCAGGGTACCTGTGCTTTTTCCTCTTTCCTCTCCTTTCAAAACAACTCCCTCTTCGGGTACGTCTAGACTACAGGGTTTTGTCGACAGAAGTTTTGTCTAGACACATTCAGTTCTGTCGACAAAGCAAGCTGCTTTGTCGACAAAACCCTGTAATCTAGACGCAACCCTACAGGCAATAACACCTTCTGTCGACAGAACTCTGTTGACAGAAGGGGTACGTCTAGACTACAGGCTTTTGTCGACAGAAGTTTTGTCGACAGATACTGTCGACAAAACTTCTGTTGACAAAGAGCGTCTACACTACATTCAGTTCTGTCGACAAAGCAAACTGCTTTGTCGACATGGTAGTGTAGACGCAAAGGACAGTTTACATGCAATAACACCTTCTGTCGACAGAAACTCTGTCGACACAAGGCGTTATGCCTCGTAAAATGAGGTTTACCAGCGTCGACAAAACTGCTGAGTTCTGTCGACGTTATGTCGACAGAACTCAGCAGTAGCGTAGAGATGCAGGTATAGTTTTGTCGACAAAAGTCCACTTTTGTCGACAAAACTCAGTAGTCTAGACACACCCTTCCTGTCCACACACGCCTTTTTCCGAAAGAGCTCTTTCTCAAAAAGGCTTCTTCCTCATAGAAAGAGGTTTACCAATGCCAGAAAACCCCCGTTGTTCTTTTCATTTTCTTTTGAAAGAACGTAATTGCAATGTGGATATGAGTGAAGTTTTTTTGAAAAACGGCTGTTTTTCAAAACAACTCTGTTGCGTAGGTATACCCTAAGTGCCACTACAAGCAGCAGTGGACCACACCCAGAGGGGTTTGCTCTTTTGGGGACTTGTCTGCAGCAAAAGCATCCCAGCGTGCGGAGCTCAGTGCAGACTCACATCAGTCACACCCGCACGATGCACTCTCCCCTGGAGACGTTAGATTGTTTCCTTCATCTAAAATTCATCTCTTCAGGAGCTGAAAGGAGCTGGCTGCTCATTGTGTCTGGGAAGAAACAGCACACTAGAGCAGAGCAAGTGAGTGATATTTTCGGTTTGGTCACCAAGTCAAAAGATCTGGGGAAAATGGGACATTTTGAACCAAAACTGGATTGTTCCAATTTCTCCCACTATAGAAAACCAAACCAAGAACAAGAATTGGTTTCAGACTGGAAAACACCTGAAACAGAATGGAAACAAAGGAAACCCAGCTGTGTCTTGTCTAGGTTTTGCATTCTCCTTAGGGAGTTTTGCAGCCTCGGGTTTTGTATTGGTTGGCGGGTCTATAAATCTAGCTCCGTTTCACAACGAAACTGGGCCATGAAACGCGAAGCCAAAAGGCGCCCCTTAAAAGGATCCGAACAAACTGGTTCCGAGACAAAGTCCAGGCCCCTCCCTGCCTCCAGGCCCGCACACAGCTGATCCTTTCCAAAATACAGTCACTCCTCCGGGACTGGTTCTGGGTCACATGGCCATCCCCTGCCATCTTCCCAGGGCCCTGCAGCTCTCCACTTACCTTGTTGATGCCTATCTCTCCCCGGGCGTGTTCAGGAGTCAGCCCGTAGAGGAGAGCTGAGGCAGTGAGCCCCCCAAGCAGCTGGGCCATGATGTAGCCCCCGGCCCTGGCTTGCCTCACTTTCCCAGCCACCAGCAAGGAGACGGTCACGGCCGGGTTGAGATGGCCGCCGCTGATTGGCAATGTGCAGTAGGACATGAGAGCCACCGAGCTCCCGAAGGCCAGCGACGCCTGGAGCAGCTTGGGGGAGGCCAAGCTGCAAGGCGCCTGCGTTCCCACCTCTCCCAGGCGGGGGGTGGCAGCGGCAGTGGGCAAGGCTGAGGACGTGGCCCCATTCGGCTCAGAGCCAGTCCCGGAGGAGTGATTCTGTGTAGTGAAGCCCAGATTCTCTGCAGCCTGAGTCCACGGCGCGATGGAGGCCAAGCCGGTGAAGAGAAAGAGCCCAGTGCCCAGAAACTCAGCCAGCACAGCTTTGAAGAGCCCCACGTCCCACGCCCTGCAGGCCACCCGGGGCAGCTCCATCCTAGACTCAGCGAAGGGTCCCAGGGCACAAGTGACGCACTGGGGCTCAGTCCTGTCCCCTTTGCATTTATACCATCGCCCCCTCCCTCTCCCCTCCCGGAGCTGGTGCTGCACAGATGTCAGCAGGAGGCGGGGACTGGCTTGCAAAGGAATTGACTTAAGCAGGCTCTCCAGAAACCGGATCCAAAGGGTGCAGGGCCGAGACCAACCTCTGGGGGCCTTGGCCTGGGGTGATACAGCCAGGCAAATTTAGCCTTGCTTGGTGAGGGGTAGAGGCTGGGTGAGGGGCATGGCATGGGCATGAGCCCACACTGCCTCCCTCCTGCAGATGGCACGTCCTGCGGACCAGCCGGAGGGGCTGTGTCTGATGCAGGGTTCCCCTCAGCCGGCTCTCATATGGAGAGGGGATGAGCCGGTCTCCAGCACTTGTGTGGGGAAAAGCTCCTTCCAGCCTCCTCCCACTCCGCACAGTGGCAGGGACAATAGTGACCGGCTAGTGCCCCGAGCAGTCTGGGGGCTGAGGGGAGCGCTGCTGGGCAGAGGTTTGCTAGATTCACATGCCCATTGACCTCAGCTGTCCGCAGGCTCCACTGTCCTGCGCAGAAGTCGAGCACGGGATAAACTCGGCGCCCGCTTCCCCTTCTGCCAACCGGATGGGATTCCAAGGAGCTGGCCTCCCTTTGCTCCGGCCCAATGTCCCATTCCTACGCCGGCACCCAGGGAACAGGAACACCGAGATGAGCTTGCCTGGCGGGTGGTCTGACCTGCTTTGCTGGCCCCGCTGCATAGAGCAAATACCCTGACCCAACTGGCAAGGGTCCAGCTGCAGTGGGAAAATCCGGGAGGGGCAGAGGCATTTCCAACCCAAACTTGGACTGTAATTGTTTTACGCCTTCCCCATCACCGCCCTCTCTCCCTCCCACCTCCCCCCATGTGGCAAGGGGGCCCTTTGCCTCCATCCACACAGGTCTCATGGGCCTCTCTCTCCGTACTGTGTGCTGGGAAGACATGGAGCTGAGGGAATTCACCTCAGGCACTGATGCCCTGAGACCATGTGTGGCCGCACATTGAAGCAGCAGGGGCCTCTATCTGCTCAGCTGGGAGCCTGTGGGCGGTGACTGACACATCCCAGGCGTCGGAGAAACAGCCGCGGTTGAGCAATGCTTCATGAAATGGACTAGTGGGGGGAGGGGCGTGGAGGGGGGAATCAGTGTGTCAACAGGACCTCCTGCATCCAGCAAAGCTCCCTCCCGACCGTGCTGTGGAACTGTGCAATACAGGCTGGGCCCGCAAAGGTCGCCCCAGAACAAAGAAGGTACAGAGAAGAGATCAGATTGGAAATGGAAAAACAGAAACCCAAGCCATGGAAAATCGACAGCATCCGCTCATGTTATTAATCACAGGCTGAGTCGCTGAAATGAACCTGCCAAAAATGCTGACGGCTTCTAATATCCCTCGGTACGTTTTATCTAAAATCTGAAAGGGACAAGTACCCGATCCATTCGCAGGCCGTGCTGTTTGCAGAGGGTTAAGGACTTTGGACTCCGTTGCGGGCTCAGAATGTGCAGAGATGGCCAGGCACAGAGAGCTTTCTCACCTAGGTACATTTGAGGTACGTGTGTAACCCACACACCTGCTGGGCACTGTCCCATGGAGTGGCACTGAGACCACTTCACAGAGAGAGAATTAAGTCTGCTCTACAGCTGTAGCTGACCGCCAGATGGCTTAGAGCTTAAGGTGGAGGGGGTTGTGCCCCGAGGTCCCAGGTTTGGTTCTGTCTCTTGGTGTTACGCATACAGGGGTGGATATAGGGCAGGACGAGTGGGGCGGCCGCCCCAAGCCCTGCGCTTCAAGAAGCCATGGCAAAGGGGGTCCCGCCAAATTGTGCTGCCCTGGGCCCTGCAAAATGGTCATCTGCCCCTGCACACATACACAATGATGTTCACTACACTGGAAGCAGTTTCTGTCCTGCTGAGTCCCATGTAAAATGGCATTTGCTGTGGTGCACTCACAGGGAATAGGAAGCTTCTTTTGGGGCAATATGCCCTTTGCTTTCCACAGGAGAGAACAGTAGCACTAAAATCAGACAGTCCAATAACAGTGTTATGAGCAAGGGTGAACCCATTCAGCGGGACAGAAAGAGGCCCACAGGCTACTTTCCCCCAACCCAGCACTGCCCTCTCAGGACAGCTGAACATTGTCCATGCCCACTTTGCAATCACAGCCAATTCTCCCCCTCTCCTACAGCCAAAGCAAGAATCCAGCTCTGGCATCGGGGCTTGCGTCTCTCCTGGGGTTTGCTGGCAAAGGTCTCTACCTCACAGAAACTTCCCCTATTATCACCCTATGTCATTACCTCACAGACACTAACCTTCCCACTAACCTTTCCCCCTCATTCCCACTCTGTTCTAAAATTTGATTTGTCAATTTCACATGCATTCATTTTTTTGATTGCATCACTTTGGTATATATGGTCGTGCCAATTTTCTTCCACTATTTGATCTGAGGAAGTGGGTCTGGCCCACGAAAGCTCATCATCTAATAAACCATCGTGTTAGTCTTTAAAGTGCTATATAGTCCTGTCTTTTGTTTCAGCTACACCAGACTAACACGGCTGCATCTCTATCACTGGCTGCACAGTGCACATCATGACACCATGTACCTCACCTCTGATGGGAGGGAGCCCCCTGGAGGTGAGAGACAGAACCCTGCAAATCCTTGGATACCTGCTTTATATCCACAGGTATCCGCATTCACGGATGTGGACGCTGATATCCACGGATCATTCTGCAGATGCAGACACGGATTCCAATTTTGTATCCCCGCAGGGCTGTAATAACAGGGCATTTCATTTCAAGGATTTATTTCAAGGCCTGAAGGGACCGCTTGATTATCGAATCTAGCCCCTGCAAAGGGGGCTACTGGATTTGAATCAGAGACCTCTTGATTGACAGCCAAATGCTTTCCCGCAGGGCCACACACACTCTAGGGTCAACATAATAACAAAGTCTGTATCTACACTACATGTCGTTATTTCAACATCATGTCAAAATAATGTCGAGCTGGAGGACTGATGACTCCAACTCCCATAAACTTCATTTCACGAGGCGTCAGGCAAGTTGGAGGAAGAGCGCTCTTTCTCGGACTTCCTGCTGTGAAAGACGCTATTTCGTCTTCAGCTACACAATTGACATCGCTCACATTGCATAGCTTATTCCGCCCAAGACGTCCTTATGGTCTAATGTCTAATGGCGCTGGCTGTGGCAGTGGTTTTTGCCTTGCACACACTCAGAAACCTCCCCAGAGCCGGCACATTAGTGTTGTGGGCTCCCTGTCCTGTCTCTGGGTAGCCGTTCCCCAGACGCTGTCGGTCCAATGGAAATAGCAGACTGTGTTTGCTCGGTTCAGTTTCTCTGTGACTGCGCAGGGAATTCAAACCCCAGGTTTGAGAACACAGCAGCAATTTCTCACCAGTCTGTAAGCAATCTAGGAGCCCGGTTCTTCCCAGGCCACCTGCTAAACATACGCACAATAGGAGCTGCCTTCATCTGTAGCCTGCAAAGGGTTACAGCCGGCAGCATTCGGCCACTGCCATCCAGCAAACAGATTCTGTTCTGCTTTTCCTTGGGCTGGCTCTAATGGAAGGCATCTAATTACACCTGGTGGAAGCCAATGTCGTTTGGTTACAGCCACTGAAAGACGATGCATTTCTCATTAAACCAGGTCTGTGCGGGAATTGTCTCTGTTTGCACCAGTTTGACTTCTCATAGAATCGTAGAATACTAGGACTGGAAGGGACCTCGAGGGGTCATTGAGTCCAGTCCCCTGCCCTCATGGCAGGACCAAATACTGTCTAGACCATCCCCGAGAGACATTTATCTAACCTGCTCTTAAATATCTCCAGAGATGGGGATTCCACAACCTCCCTGGGCAATTTATTCCAGTGTTTGACTTTTTCCTAATGTCCAACCTCAACCTCCTTTGCTGCAGTTTAAGCCCATTGCTTCCTGTTCTATCCTCAGAGGCCAAGATGAACAAGTTTTCTCTCTCCTCCTTATTCCACCCTTTTAGATACCTGATTAATTCTGTCTGATCTCCAGTGACTGAGCAGGCCCTAAGGAGCATGGAGGGGAGGGCCATGCAAACACGTCACAGGCCATGTTTCTGATAGAAGGTTCTCTGGGGGTTGGTCCCCATCTCTTGGGGCTAGCAAAGCTCTCCGCTCCTGGCCCCCACAGATTGGTCTAGCTCCATACAGATCTTGTGAGTATGACTAGAGACCCCATACCCTACAACAGAGCCCCAACGCTACAGACTGATCTGCTTCTCTGCTCCCCCGGGGAATCACGGCTCCTGCAGAATGCATCTTGCCTGTTCTATCCTGCTGGACGCTGCCCTCAGCCCCGGGGGATGGGCATGCAGACCACATGGATTAGAGCTCGTCAGGAATTTTCTGGCAAGATGGTTTTCATCAGAAAATGCCAGTTTGTCAGAACCAAGCCCGTTTGCAAGGAAGGGCAGGCAGGGACCCGTTTCCCTGCTGGAATTTCTTTGCCAAAGGCTTTGGGGTTGTCCAAATGCTCTGCTCGGACATTTTCTGAGTGAAAAGACTCGCTTTTCGACTGGAAACCACTTTTCATTTTGAAATGGCCAGTAAGTCAGGCTAAAAAAAGGTTCTTTTTTGTCAGCGTCGCCATTGAAACCAACTGTTCCAACTGACCCACCCCACTGTTTTTTCTGGGAAATTTTTCACAATTTTCACTTTCCGTCCGTGTAGGTATGGGAAAAGGGCTTTGAAATCTCACAGACTTTTTCTGGGTGCCCACCTAGCTCCAGCACTGATCCCTGTCATCAACGCTGGGATTTCCCTCCCCCTCCTGTGAAAAACCCAGGCAGATGCTGTCACTGAGAGCAGTCACCCCCTACAACCTAGACCCTACTCAGGTCCAGGAGCCCTGGCTAGGCTTCTCCGACACCTGCCCTTCCAGGCACCTTGCCCAAATTCACTCT